ATTCAGTAACCATTAGGTGTGCATTTTTATAGAAAAAGTCACAAGATTGGCATTATAGTGGACCCTAATCCATTTTTTTTATTTGCTTGGAACACTACATGGTGAATCAGCTATTTCACCACGGAGTATTCTCAGTGAGATTCAGAGCTTATCTAATGGGATTTAGCTGAAAAGGTTTTTATGCAGACAATCAAAGCCCGTTAAAATTTTACTACACGAATTCGTCAAGCATACCATTAAGTCACAGTCCCACCACGTCAGAGTAAATTACCCTGACATCACTACATCTTCACGTGTACATCTGAAAAGCATAACTAAATTGTGCATAACCCCATTCCACACAAATAGAGAGTGTCTTTAGTCTTCCGACACGTTTTAATCTCACCTTTGGGCTACCTGCATCACCATATGCTCAAATGGTACAAATTTGCTCTACAACCAATGCAGTCGTGTGTTCCTATTTCAGAATGGAATTCGAACTCCTTGGTGGATCTACCAAAACAAATTTTAATGCTGACAGCAGAATTTCATGACTTTATTGTATTACAGCTTAAAAAGGCAATGAGAAAAGATGCTGATTTTCGTAAAAATGTCACTGAACCCAAGTAAGTGGCATGTCATTAAGTCTCGACCACCACTTAGGATCTACACGCCCAACAAATGATATTTTACGCGAGAAATAAGGACTTATTATGGTAAATTAAAACCATTCAGTTTTCTTGAGTCCATGAATGTCCACAAGGCAAGCCTCCTAAGCAACTGACATCCCCTCACTAAGCAATTACAAAGAGCTATACAAGAGGCGAGACAGCATTGACTGCACACACTGCAGGAGCCTAATGAAGATGATTATCGTAAAAACTGGTTTTATTGGCAGGAATATTTGCCACGGAGAGACACTCAATATATGGTACTTCACTATAAGTAAATACAAGGTCAAACGCCTCAGCGGTTATTAGCGTAGTTGGCACTGATTAGTCGAACAGGTTTGATTGTGGTTTTGAGGTGGCAAGTCAAACGCTACAGCATTTGCAAGTTACGCCGGTTAGATAGTAGTTTTGGAGTAGCACTGTTAAATTGCCACCCTACTTCCACGAATCTAAAGAGGATAAATTGAGTACAATTTAAGACTTTTGTGGCAAGTATGCTTATGCCGAGAACACTAAAATACAGTGTTTTCACAAAAGATTTATCCATTTTAATTAAAAAAAATAGATGCAATAACAAGCAAATTAATCTAAACAAAACTTGAGTATTTGGCGTGAAAGTTAAGAGGTTAACAATTTTCCCCACGACAAAGTCCATAGACATCCATTAGGGGGCTAGGAACTGTGCTGGTGATTGCACCAACAAATAACTGTAACTTGACGTATCACTGGACTTTCATAAATTTGGTGAAATTAAGGGAGAATAATGCACTGAGTGCCACATTAGCCACCTTTTTGTGGGTTATCGGAAGGTCTAAATGATGGATATTCTTCTCTCCTGGAAATGATATTTAACTCGTTAGTTTTCTTTTTCTATGAGCCGAAATTTGCCCCTCAAATGGACCGTCCGTTTGGAAGTTACAGGTGATCTCAGCCTTAAGCTAGATTCAGGGTTTGTTATAAGTAAGACTTCACAACTCCACAGCTAAGGTAAGACTTCATGTGTGCCATTCAAGTACAATTGGCAATTGGTATCAATTCACATGACTGCGTTTACGTTTTTTTGACGGCGAGGCTGGTGGTTGAACAAGGTATGTGATAAAATCTTGGAAGTCGCAGGTTTAATGTTTTGAAATATAACCTGGGTGCTCGGACAACCACCAAAAGGAAATGCACCATTCAACGCAGATGATCCCGCACCCACAATGATAGCAGAAAACAGATTCCCAGTTTAATTTTACACAGAAATGCTACCGCCAAAGAAATAGAATATCTATGACTTCACTACTTGTTATTAAAACCCACTTCTGCTATTTATCTCGCGTCATACTGGTCATTACTAAGTAACTATATTTTGTATAAAGCGTTTCTGCTCTCTTATTTGTTCAAGCACTCACCTGATGGATGGCCACATTGAACAGATCAGCGTTCCCGACTATTCACTAAGAAATGGCGTGACGGACTAACTGTGCTCTCTACAGCGATTCATACGCACACCCATGTACACTTTCGCTGACTTACTACTGTTGACCTAATTAATCCACCTCATTTAGATTTTGGACGTACAAGATTCACTGATAAACATGCTAATAACGCCTGCATGCGGTTGGTTAAATCGGACGTGAATCTGGAGAGGCGGTAGTGCAGATTGTTGATTGCGTTCGGATACAGGATTGTCTAGCCGTACGCAGTGTTGTGTACACGTATCTAATAACTGTGAATTAAACCGCGACCATCGACTAAGTGCATCTCATTGTGGGGTGATTCGATAGCGAATGTCAGGCTATCACTGGTTGACTAACAACGAATGTGCCTGCAATGGCAGAGCTATCCGACAGGGCACCTTTACAGCCAGCCAGCCAGCCAAACGCTACTCGCTAACAAACGGCATCTATAACTAAAACGTGCTCTGCAGAGATGCTGCGCTTGGGGTGCCAGTGCGCCACGACAAATTAGCAGAGAGTGCAAATAATCCAGGTTGAAAACACAACCCTGAAGTTAAAAAGCGCTAGAATGCCATTCAAATGGACTTTTTAATTTAAAGTACACTCAGGCAAGCATTCCGCAGTGCTGACTAACTGAGCGTTTCTACAGACAAATTCCACCTGCAGGAAATCAACGAACGCCATCGATACGACCCCTTTAGTCTGCAC